CCAGCCCTGTTGCTGGCCTGGCCCCCAGCCCCTCCTGGCCGGCCTTGCTGGCTGCGCACCCCGCGTTGAGGTGTCTTTCCTGCAAGGTCTTCATCATCCTCTAATTGTTCACATTTATTTTTCTCCTTCTGGGTGAGCAGCCCTGCAAGCCGCAGCCTGACTCTTCTTGGCGGCATCATTCATGCGGCTTCCATGCCCACGATCCGGGGGGCTGCCCCCGCCTGCCGGCCCGGCCGCCGCTCCTCTGCCTGCCCAGAGATGGATGTTCCTTTATTGCCCATAAATCTCCGCACAGCCCTTTGTGGAGACAAATCGGAGGCCTCCTGCTCCCCGGTGTCTGTCGGCCGGTCGGCGGTGGGTTTAATTGGCCCTCCCCGTGGAGGCCGCCCTGGCAGGAGAAGCTCGGTGTGGGCCGGGCAGTGCCACGGGCATCCGCAGAAGGGGCCGTCCTCTGCCCTTCGCTTTGTCTGGGGGACCGGGAGAGGCTGGGCCATATGTGGGGATAATGTGCCGCTCTGCCCTCATGCACCCATCTGTGTGGATGCCACATGCCAGCCCACGGAACGTGGCCTTCCACATCCACATGGCTGGCAGCGGCCCAGGCCCGGCAGGGTCCCTCTCTCACCTAGGTGGCCCAGGAGTAACGTTGCAGCCTCAGGGGCTCCCTGGCCAGGAAGGAGGCCCACGGGTTCTACAAGGCACACAGTAGATGCATAATAAATGCGTGGTGAACTGGGTAGGATCACAAGGGACCCTCTGCCCAGCCACGGCGTTGGCCGAGGGGCAGCATCCCCGAGGGGCTGGGCGCCCCCCGACGCCCTCATGGCTGTGGGTCCCGCCCTGCTCATGGCCAGCAGGCCCTGCCGGCCCGTGTGCCACCTCGTGCTGGAGAGTGGGAAATGCCGCCTGTGTAACACGCGGAGCATCGGGCTGAGTGCTCGGTTGACGTGAGGGTCAGGGGTCCCTGTGCCAGCTCTGGGGGCCCCATGGGGGTGGAGCATGCTCAGGCCACCAGCCCAGCTCAGCCGGGTTCCACCACTTGCTACGTGGCCTTGAGGGACTGCCTGCACCTGGGGATCCAGATGAGAGCTCACTACTGGGGTCCGAGGGCCAAGAAGACAGGTGGTGGGTGGGGACGGCTGGAGGCCTGGTGCCCCTGTGGCAGAAATGGCCTGTCTGGCCCCTCTGCTGGGGGCCTCGGCCATCACAGCCATCTATGAGCCCCTCTGGTGCGGGCCCAAGCAGGGACCCATCCCGTGGGGGTTTACTCACTCCTCATACCAGGCGGGAATCCGAGGGCTATTGAGGTGTAGCGATCTGGCCGTTCAGATCTGCACGCTGCGGATCTGCTCTGTGACCACATGGCTGGGTGGGGATCAGCCTGGGGGATGCGAGAGGGCTTCCTGGAGGAGGGGGTAGTGTCAGAGCTGAGCATGGAGCAAAGTGGAGGTGCTGAGAAGAGGATCCGAGAGTTCTGTGGCTGGAGCCGGGGGCAGGTGCAGGGGAGATGGGGCTGGATGGGTGCCCGCTCCTCTGCCCACTGGCTCTACCTGACCCTCAGGACTCCAGGTTTGGCCCAGCCTCTTGGGGGATGTTTAGTCAAAGGTGGGCCTCCTCATTGTGGCCAGAGGTGACCCGAAGGCCACCTGACCAGACAGAATTGCAGTGGTCATGTGCCCACCACAGCTCAGCGTGTGTCCCCACTGAGGGACATCCCCAGGCTGACTGGCACAGGGGAGAGGCCCAGGTACCGGGTGGAGAAGCCATGCTTGGCAGCAGGTATCTGACCGAGCCCGGCCTCAGGTCCAGTCCTGCCTGACACATCACTTCATACCTCTGGGCCTCAGCTTCCCTGTGTGCACCCTGGGGACAGTGTCCTCCTAGCAAGGCTCGCCGCATGCCAGGGAGGCTGCCAGCTGGGGCAGGGCTGGGGACTGAGGCAGGTGGCATCCCCCACCCCGCCGCCACTGTGGCTGGTCCCTGAGCCCCAGCTCATGCAACAAATAAACATTTGCTTCCCTCTAAACTTGTTTCCAGCATGTTCTCAGTCTCACTGGACATTAGTCTACCATCAGCTGCTGAACATTCTGCTACTTCTATTATTTCAGGACTAATTTAAGAATTAAAAAATAATTCTCCCAATTACTATGCAAAGCTCAGGGCAGCCAGATAAATGGGGTAGGCGCTCCCATCCTAGGACACGGCCAACCCTGCAGCCCCTGGGTGGCCGGTGCACAGGGCAACTCCAGGGACACCAGCAGGGCCCCTGGGGTGGGGTGGTGGCTGGGGGGAGTGCCCCCAAGAGCAGCCCATCACCCAGGTGGCTGCAACCACTGTTAGCCCAGCCCAGGTGTCATCCTCCACTGATTGTGCTTGGTGGCACCGCCCCGGGACACAAGGATTGGCCCTGAGCTGTGAAGGACTCTGTCTGCAGGTCGCCTTGCAGCTGAGCAGGCATCCCTGGGCAGGGGCTGTGCCAAACCAGCAGGCAGCGTGCAGTTAATCAGCTTCCTGCACTGGCCTCAGTGTCCGGGGGACGAAGGCTGGACAATCAGCCACCGGCCTACCCACCCTCTGGCACTTGACCTCAGTGGGCACCAACTGGGCCAGGGCTAGGGCAGGCATGGCCTGAGAGGGGGTGGGGGGGTGCAGGCAAGAGCTGAGCCCCTGGGTCCTGGCTCAGCACCCCGCCCCCTCCCGGCCCCATCAGCACCGGCCGGTGAGCTCATCTCTTCCTGGGCTGTAAATATCACCCAACTGCTCACGACTCCCAAATGTGTCCTCCAGCCGGGCCCCTCTCCTGAGCTCAGCCTGCACAGCCCACGCGACACCCCCGCCCAGATGTCTTCTGGGCCTCAACAAGGCGGCCGCTCCTGCTGGTGCCCCCACCTTGGGGAGAGGCACCCCATGCCTGCTGCCCACCTCGGGGAGAGGCACCCCATGCCTGCTGCTCAGGGCAGACGCCTGGGAGCACTGCCGCCGCCCCCGGCCCATCAAGGCATCCACGCTTCCTGCCGAGTCCAATGTGAAACTCTCCACTTCCTTCTGAATCCTCCTACCCTCTCCTCAGGCCAACCCCCTACCTCGCCACTGCGCAAGCCCCCACTGTGGCGTGGAGGGGCAGGTGCAGAGCCCCGAGGGCCGGGCTAGGGGCTTTGGTGGTGCCAGGAGGAGCAAGTGACCACAGAGGCAGGGCCCAGCCAGGGCACCAGGTTGGTCAGCCTGGTCACAGCTCAGTGTGGGGCGCTGTCGCCTCCTGAGCCACCACCTCCCGTAGGCTCCCAGCCCCCATCTGAGGGCCAGCTGGTGGTGACACACACAGCCTGAAAGGTGTCTGATGGCACACAGGTGCCTGCCTCTCGTGAGGAGTGGGCCCACCACAGATAGTGAGCTCCTCGTCTTGGGAGGTGTGCAAGCTGAGGTGGGACCTACCGTCCTTCCTCAAGCCACTGAGGATGCTGCCGATGCCCTGCAGATGGGCAGCTCAGGAGCGGCAGTTTCCTGGTTCTGACTCATGCAGGAGCCCCTGCCTCAGCCCTGCCCCCTACCCTGGATTTAGCAAGTTCCCTTGTGTCTTCTCGGGCACAGCAGGGGCCACTTGGGAGAAAATGAATAAAGAAATGCCTGCCCACGCTTTGCCCACCAGCACCCAGCCATAGGCTGGCAGACTCCTGGGCGCGGCTATGGGGTCACAGAGAACGGGGGTGCCAGGGAGCACTAAGGGTGGGGCTGTAGGCATCAGCGTCTCGACAGCAGGCTGTGCAGAGCTGCAGAGGAGAAGCAATGGGGTCTCCTGGGCCCAGAGGGCCTGGGGAAGCAGCGTGGGTGGGGCAGACGGTGCAGATCTGGGCAGGGCCTGCCTGAGCTGCCCGTCCCCAGCCCTGGGGCAGAGCTGCCAGCCCTGGAGTTCCTGCATGCAGAGAGCAAACTCCAGGTGGAGATTCGGGCAGCCGTGCAGGGCCAGGCAGCACCCAGTGGCACAGGCATGAGGCTGTCCTGGAGGAGTTGGCAGCAGGTGGAGGCCCCTGCTGAGGAGGGGTAGGGCTAGGACCAGGACATCCTGAGCCGGCCTTGGTCTGAGCCCCTCCTCAGCAGTGACACAGAGGAGCAGGCGGGGGGTGGGGGTGGGGTGGGGGGACCCTTGGCTGCCAAGCACATCCCCTCCCCCGGCTCCGAGCCCAGCCGCCCCCACGGCCATCTGGCATGGCAGCAGCGCTCCCCACGCTCTCCCATGTCACCGGCATCGTGTGCCTCTCCCTCCTTTCTCCCCAGCCCCTCCCCTGGGGGGGGGGTCCTTCCCTGGGATGGCTTCTGGCCACGTGGCCCCTTCCCTTTGTCTCCAAGTCCTCCAGCCCAGGCCTGGAAAGCAAAGCGTGCCTATGCATATTTTTGCCTGTGCTGCTCATGCTACTTGCCAGCACATGCGTGCATGCCTGTGTGTACACGTGTGGTCCCTGCCCTGCCACGTGCGCATGTGTCCTGTGCACACATGTGTGCAGGGGCACGCAGATCCATGAGGGCCCGGATCTGGGGTGTTGCTGTGGTGTAAGTGGGGGTGCCCTGGGCACAGGCGTGTGGGGCTGGGGCATGAGTGGCGTGCGACCATGAGCAGTGGCGTGAGGGTGCACACGGCCCCTGCTGGGCCTCCCCCTCCTGCCCACCCCCAGTGGCGGGAGCAGGGTCCTTCTGGACCTCAGCACCCTCATCCTCATCCTGGGGGTAGCTCAGGCTGGGCTGGCTGGGGTTGGGGGCCCCAGGTCGGACATCCCCACAAGCTGCCACGTCAAGGCCCGTGGGCCTGGCATGTGCTCTGTCAGCCGAGCTCTTGGGGAGCGAGCTGAGTCTTTGTGGCTGGGCTGGCAGGGGACCAGGCCGCCTGGGTGTCCGAGCTGCCCATGACTCCCCTTCTTTCAGGCCTCATGATGGGGGAGTGGCTGCACCCCCAGCACCCACTTCCGCCTCTTACCGCCCACAGCACCCTCAGCCTGAGAGGCCATAGCTTAAGAAAAGAGCTCTTTATTCCACGTCGTCCAATATTTTTACACAAGTAAAATAAAATGCATATCTCTCTATACCGCGATCGGGTGGGAGGCAGCGTTCTGGAACAAACGCTGCCGCCGAACCCTGTAAACATGATGGGTGGAGATGGGGTGGCGGGCGGGAGGTGTCCGGCAGGGAGGGCCTGGCCTACCCAGCGGGGCCTACCGTTTGCTGGCGGGTGCAGGGAGACCCCGTATGTACACACAGCTGGCTGTGGAGCACTCTCGTGCCAGGGGGTCAGCAGGGCCTGAGCACTGTCCCCAGCACCAGCGCAAGGCCCAGGGGCGCAAAGCTGCAGGCCAGTGTGGGCAGGGCACCTGAGCCCTCTGCGTCGCCTGCCCCGCTGCCCCCACTACCTGCCTGGCCCAGGCGGCAGTGGCTGCGGGTGCGGTTCTTGCGGGAACAGCCAGGCCTCCGGCGAGGGCCTGAGGTGGGGAACCCTGGGGGCTCGGAGCCCTCAGGCCGCAGAGCGGTCAGTGGGGGCTCGGCCGAGCTGGGCAGGGTCCCAAAGGGGGAGTCATTGATGTGCCGTGGGCCTGAGCCATTGCCCGGTGGGCTGTCGCCTGGTGGCACGCGCCCCTTCAGTGCATTTCCGGCTGAGCCCGGCCTCCCGGGCTCCAGCACCGAGTTCTTGTCTGCAGCATCCGGCTGGCAGCACTTGGGCAGTGCCAGCAGCTCCTCATCTGTGGGCCCGCCGGTCCGGATGGGACGGGAGGGCCGGGCGGCCACAGCGCAGCCCTCAAGGTCTCCGGCCACCAGGCGCTTGAGGTCCCGGCCGGCCAGACGCGGGGGCAGGCTGCATTGCAGCTCCGATGAGGAGCCACGGAACTTCTGCAGCCAGGCCCAGAGTGGGCGTGCCCGGCAGTCGCACACCCAGGGGTTGTCATTGAGCCGCAGGTACTGCAGGGAGCGCAGGGGTGCCAGGGCCTCTGCAGGCAGTGCGGACAAGTTGTTGGCGAACAGGTACAGCGTCATGAGGCGGCCGAGGTCGCGGAAAGCCTGTGGATGCACGTGGGCCACATGGTTCTGGTGCAGCAGCAGGCGGTCCAGACTGTGCAGACCCCGGAAGGCGCGTTCGGGCACGCTGGGGATGCGGTTGCCATGCAGGAAGAGGTGAGTGAGGTTGCCCAGGTCTCGGAAGGTGTCGTCGGGCAGCGCCTGCAGCCCGTTGTCCTGAAGGTAGAGGTACTGCAGGGCAGCCAGGCCTCGGAACAGGCCGGGGCCCAGCTCCTGCAGGCCACAGCGGTCCAGGTGCAGCGTGTGCAGGCGGCCCAGGCCGTGGAACGTGGCGGGGTCCACGGCTCGGAGCTGTGCGTTGTCACTGAGGTCCAGCTGTTCGAGGAGGGTGAGGCCGGTGAAGGCGGCGGCGTCGATTCGGGCGAGCGCGTTCGAGTGCAGCCACAGGATGGTGAGGTTGCGGCAGGCGCGGAAGCTGGCTGCTGGCACGTGCGAGATGCGGTTGCCGTGCAGGAAGATGCGCTGGCTGGCGGCCGGGATGCCTGTGGGCACAGCCTGCAGGCCCTGCTGGGGGCAGCTCGTTGTCACCTTGGGCTCGTTGTAGCACACGCAGGCGCCTGGGCATGGGGCCGCCACCTGCCAGGCCTGCAGCCATAGCACCCATGCCAGAAGCCGGCTCCCTGAGGGCAGAGCACAGGGCAGTTAGCCGGCAGGAGGGTCCCAGAGATGCTGGGGGTTGTGCTGGAGCCAGGCTGGCCCCCGGGATTGGGCCTTGGGCGGGGACCCCTGGGATTGAGGCGTTGGGATCCCTGCTCCACACAGATGCTGCTGGGCTGTGGCGCAGTGGGAGCAGCACACTCCTCCCCAGGAAACCCCCCTGCAGACGCCCCGCGCTCAGGCTTGGCCACTGCATCACCTCCCGGGACAGGTGCTCACAACTGCAGACACCTTCTCAGGACTCCAGCCAACAGAGAGCCCTGCAGCGGTCCTGGAGTCCCCACATCAGCAGGCCCAGGAAGCATAACGAGGCTGGGGCTCTCCTGCTAGCACCCCTGCTACCCCAGAAACAGGAGCGTGTGTGCCGGGGAGGAAGACGAGTGCCCCCAGGCAGGCTGCTCCCTCCCCCACACATCCTCCTTTCAGGCACTTCCTGACTTGGCAGAAACACCTCCTGAAGCCTCCATGCCCCCACCACCCGGCCTCTTTCTCTCTCTCCACCGGGAGAAGGGAGGAGCTCGCTGCTTCCCAGCCAGTCCCTGCACCATCCAGCTGCCCTCACCCCTCCCACCCAGACACACCCTCAGCAGGGACAGCCTCCACTGCTGGCCAGACACACCTGGGCTTCACCAAGCACCTATATTGGCAGCGGGCCCTTGCTGGGGTGCCAAGTCCAGACCCGGCCTCGCCAGCAGGGCCCCGTGCCCCGCAGTAAGCATCACCGCCTCTTTCAGCCCACCGTTAGAGCACCCCTCCCCAAACGTTGAAGGTTCTCTCTGCCTTCAGGAGAGAGTCTATTAAAATGTGAATCCCCCTGGGAGGGTTGCGGCTTATCAGCTAACACCTTCCTTGACAGCTAACACCTTCCCTGGCAGCTGGCTAAGCGCAGGACTCTGCAGACCGAGGCTGGCTTAGTGCTGGGGTTGGAGCCAGGCAGGAGAAAGGAGAGGACAACACGCCAGCATTGTGTGAGCTGTGTGACCCTGGGGCCCTCCAACCCACCCTGGGGCCCCTGTCCCACTGGGTCCCCATCTGCCTGGGCCAGTGCAGATGCCCCAACCCAGAGCCCAGCAAGTGCAGTGGTCACCAGGCATGCGTGTCCTTTCAGGCTCTGGTCCCCAGGTCCTGAGGACCCCCTCCCCATAGCCTGGGGGCCTCCTTTGCCACCCTCAGGCCATTTGTTGGCTGCCAGGGAGAAGGCAGACCTGCTAGGGTCTCAGAGGGACATGCCCAGCCCAGGAGCCTCCCAGGCCTGGGCACCCCTCCCTGGGTGAGCTGTGTGAGGGAGGTGTCACAACCTGATGTCAGATGTGAACTGTTGCCACCCTTGCTGCACTCTCTTGTGCACTCTCCCTGGGAAGGTGGGGCCTGGTCATGCCAGCTCCCCCCAGTCTCTCACCTGCTGTCCCTGGAGGGACCTGAGGTGGGGAGGGTAGGGGGAGCCCCCAGGAGCTCCCGCGGCAGGCTCAGGACCTCACTGCTACATCGCTGACCACACCTTGCTGCCAACCGGTCTCACCAAGATGGGTCGCCTGCCACACATGGTGACCGCATCCCCCAAATCAGGACTGAGCCGTGCCACCACTAGGCCACGTCCTATGGCTCCCAGGCTGAAGCGGTGGGCTGGGAGCGGCCCCATGTTGGGGCTCAGCTGACTCCCAGAGTGAATCCCTTGCTCAGGGATCTCCGCCCTCCCGAGGCCACTGTGCCCACTCTGCAAATGCCCCAGGCCGAGCTTCAGGATGGAGCCATGGGAGGCAGGGGCACTTCGGGGCAGCCGCCTGGCACCCAGCCCTGCCAGGAAGCAGGAACAAGGTGCAAAGGCATGGACGGCTCCGTCCCCGTTGAGAGGACTGCTTTTCGGAAACCAACTTCTGAGATTTGGGTGAGGTGGGCTTTCTCCCGCTGCAGCCGTGGTAATTGGCTCTAGCCTGGCCCCCTTGGGGCCTGCCTGCTGGTCTCCATGGCAACCCCTCCGCAGAGCGAGCAGGAAGGGGCATCTTTTTATGAGATAATCAAACCCAACTTTGCAGCACAGGTTTGTACTCACAGCAGGGGCCCTGGGGGTGAGGGAGACTCAGCCAGGTCATGGGGGGGTGTCCTCTGACCCAACCCCAGAGGCTGGACCCACCCCAGAAGGCCTCTCTGGCCCTCACCCTGACCTGTCCCCTTTGCTCTGCAGCCCCTGGGCCACAGGCCTCTCTGGCCTCCAGGTCCACCCCCAGCCACTCTCTTTCTGTCCCCCAATTCTCAGTGTGAGCTCAATCCCCCACCCTGCACATGTGCTGAGCAAACAGCCCTGCCGTGGCCCCAGCTCCCACAGAGAGAGCACTCAGAGCACACCCCCAGGCCCCTGCATCAGTGCCCCCACCCAGGCCGGCCCCATGCCTACCTGAGGCTGCCCAGGCCCCAGCGGTTTTCCCCAGCCTTGGGCCTCACCGCCCTCCCCCATCTCCGAGTGCAGCACAAACTGTGCCTCTCCTGCCATCCCCAGGCACATCCTTGCTCCTCTTTCTTCCGGTTGTCGCCCTGGGGCCCTCCCCAGGGACAGCGTGCTGCTGTCAGGGCTGGGGTGGGGCATGGGGTTCCAGTCTCAGCCCAGGCCTGGCTCAGGAGCCAGCCCTGTCTGGAAGGCTCTGAGCTTTCCCAGGGGGACAGGGCCCTGTACCACCAGGCTAAAGGCCCAGGATGCTGGGTGGCATAGGCCTGGATGCGTCCCCCCAGCATGAGCAGCAGGCATCCCAGGTGGGCACCTGCACCACCAGCTCCTGTGAGCAAAGGGTGCTGTTCACAGTCACTGTGGGAGGGGGTGGGGAGGAGGGAAGGGCAGGAGGGGGGAGGGGAGGGGCTGGAGGAGGGGGGTTGGCTCTGGGGACCTGCAGGGGCTGGCAGGCAGGCAGGCAGGTAGGCTGCTGCTGAAGTCAGCAGCTCACCCCAGTGTCGTTGGCGGAGCTGCAGCGGGAGCCTAGCTGGGATGGCCTTCTTTGGTGTCCTCCCCGTTCCCACGGCTCCTGGAGCCCTGCCCTCTGTCCCTTAGGGACCCCTCTACTCCCAGCTGGCAAGGCTAAGAGATGGCGCCTTAGAGGCCCAGAGCACCGGCCTTCGTCCGTCCACCGGCTCAGTGCCCTTGGGTCCCAATGCCTCCATGCGCAACAGGGCAGCAAGGCACCAGCCTTCACTGCCTGGTTGGGAGGGTCCCGCCAGCGCTACGTTACACATTAGCAAACTGAGGCACTGAGAGTGTGGTGAAGGCCTGCCCTGCCCCACCCCAGACCACCCAGGAGGAAGGGTGGGCCAAGGAGCCACAGTGCTGCCCAGAGGGGCCACAAGGCGTGTCCAGCGAAGCGCGAAGGACTGTGGCCTGGGAAGAAACGTGAGTGTGGGGGGCTGGGCTGCCCACGAGGGCAGGTGAGCAGCACTGGGCCCTTCCGTGCCCTTGCAGCTGGGAGGGGCACCTCCAGGCAGGCTATGAGCTGCTGCCCCCAGGCTGGGGCGGAGGCTGTGGGGAAGGAGGCGAGCAGAGCACTGCCGGGACATTGGGCAGCTCAGCATCCTCTGACACACCAGCCATGTCCCCGTGAAGTGGCCACGTCACAGACCACAGTTACGAGGCAGAACAGGAGGCCACAGCTCAGCACACCAAGGCCAGAAATAGCTCCCGGTGGGGGTAGCGGGCTGGTGCCGTCCCCACACCACAGAGGGTCAGGGCACCCCTCCCAGCACCCGCTCCCCACTCCTGCTGGCCTCACCCCCTCCCTGTCTATCTGTCTCCATGTCCTCACTCACTTCTCACACGCACGCCCACCTGCCGTCTGTCCTCCGGCCCACAGACACGTGCAGAGGCAGCTCTCGTTCCCATAGCCCTTCCTGTGTCCTTCTGGGGCTGCAGGTGCTGGGGTCAGGAGGGTGGCAGCAGCTCCCCAGGGGGCAGCCCACCTGCCAGGGGCCCTGTGTCCTGTGGGTGTGGCCACCAGCTGCTGCCGCCCGGGCCGGGCCCTGCTCCTTATTGATCTTCTCAAGATGAGGCTGTAGGGCCTAGGAGGGCAGGTGAGGTTGCCATCGGGCAAGGACTCCCCCCACACAGGAGGGCACTGCACCTGGGCTAAGGTGGCTCCAGGCCCAGCCCCACACCTCATTCCTGCCCAGCTGGGCCTGGTGATGCTGGGCTCACCCTGAGGCAATGGGATGCTGGTGGACCCAGAGCCAGCAGGCCAGGCCTGAGCTGGGCTCCTCAGGAAGCCACCTGCCCACAGCCCCAGGGCTAGGAGGATTCCCAGCACCCTGGCACTGGGGCGCTGAGAGGCCTGGCTGGGCAGTAGAGGGTTAGCCCCCCATGCCTAACCCAAGCTGCATGGTCCCAAAGTTCCCAGCCAGCACGACACCCGAGAGGGGCCACCTTCCATGTCATGGATGCTTAGGCTGGCGGGGCAGGGGCCTGGCCCAGCTGGAGGCCTGGACCGCAGGCTCACCCGAGGGCTGTCCACACCCTCAGCGCTCCCTCCAGCCCTCGGCCAGGTGCTGGGCCGAGTGCTGCAGACACACTGACCACGGGTGGCCACTCTGCTGCGTGGCTGGTGCCACGTTGGGGAGTCAGAAGGAGGGGCCTCAGCTGGCCCAAAGGTACAAGGACGAAGGCAGGAGCCCAGGAGCCCACAGGTCTGGGCAGACTCTCTGGTGGGCAGGACACTCAGCCCAGTGCCCAGACCTCAGGGACTCATCCTTGGCCGTGCTCAGCTGGAGGGCTCCGGAGCCTCGCCCTGTCCAGCCCAGCCTGCTCAGCATCTGCCCCTGTGAGCCCCGCTCTGAGGGCTCTGTCTGGCTGAAGCCCGGTCTAGCCCAGGACATGGCTATTGTAGGCCACTGGGCTCCAGGGACTCAGCCAGTGTCCCTCCTCCACAGGAGGCCAGAGCCCACTCCCCCTCCTCCCTGCCCCATCAGGCCACCAACAAACACTGCTGCCTAA